AATTGGAGGCACCCTGCTGTATGCCGGTAAGATATAGCTGCTGCTGCTGCTGCTGCTGCTGCTGCTGCAGCTGCTGCTGCAGCTGCAACTGTTGCTGCACCCGATTGCTGCTGATGCCCCTTTTGCTTCTCTTGTTGCTGACTCTGCTGCTGCTGCAGTAACGATTGCTGTCCCTCCTGCTGCAGCATTAACATGCAATCTGCATTATCTACTGCATCTCTGTGCGTACAGCAGGACCGCCACCACCAACAGCAACAGCAGCAGCAGCAGCAGCAGCAGCAGCAGCAAGAGGAGGGAGAATAAGACTAATTATGAATATAATTATAGGGATATACCCTCTATGTTATCTGGTGGTGATTTAGATGGTGATAAGTATTGGGTATTTTATGATCAATCTATTGTCCTTCCTTTGTTGCTCTTATGGTCACAAGGAAGGGCACCTCCTCCTGCTGCTCCTGCTCCTCCTGCTGCTACTGCTGCTGCTGCTGCTGCTGCTGCTACTGGATATAATAGTAATAGTAGGAGGAACAGCAACAGCAGTTATACCTCCTGCAGCAGCAACTGCAGCAGCAGCAGCAGCAGCAGCAGCAACAGCGATAGTGAGAGCAGCAGCGCATGCAAAGATAATCGATCCGATAGTGACGTCATAAGACAGTCCAGTCATGCAGCAGCAGCAGCAGGAGCAAGTGCAGCAGCAGCAGCAGCAGGATCTCAAGCAGAAGGAGACAACGAGACAACAGCAGCAGCAGCAGAAGGAGACAACGAGACAACTGCAGCAGCAGCAGAAGAGATAACAGAGACAGCAGCAGAGCTGCAAACCGCAGCAGCAAAAGAGAACGAAGAGACGGCAACAGAACCACATACTGCAGCAGCAACAAAGGAGACAGCAGCAGAGCTCCAAACAGCAGCAGCAAAAGAGGCAGCACCTGCAGCAGCAGAACCTGCAGCAGCAGCACCTCCAGCAGCAGCACCTCCAGCAGCAGAACCTGCAGCAGCAGCACCTGCAGCAGCAGCACCTGCAGCAGCAGAACCTGCAGCAGCAGCACCTCCAGCAGCAGCACCTGCAGCAGCAGAACCTGCAGCAGCAGAACCTGCAGCAGCAGAACCTGCAGCAGCAGCAGCAGCAGCAGTAGCGCCTGCAGGATCTTCAGTAGCAACAGTGTCTCCTGCCTCCTTTGCATTAGCAGTAGCATTACCTGCACGCCGTGCAGTACTATTACGAGCAGCAGCACGACCAGCAGCAGCAGCAGCACGTGCAGCACGAGCAACAGCAGCAACAGCAGCAGCAGCAACAGCAGCAGCAGCAGCAGAAGAGGAGAAGGAAATATTATTATTATCTCGTTATATAATAAGAATAAAAGAAGTATTTAATTTAGGTATAATAGCAAGAAATCATTTCCGTCTATGTTTAGCCCCTAATTATTATTATGCTGAGCAGCAGCAGCAGCAGCAGCAGCAGCAGCAGCAGCAGCAGCATGTACAGCAGCAGCAGCATAAGGAAGAAGTGCAGCAGCAGCATAAGGCATGTAATAAGGTAGCTATATATCTAGCTAATCTTGCTGCTGCTGCTGTTGATACACCTAAGACAGGGAAGCAAGTGCTGCAGCAGCAGCGCATGCATTCGTGTCTGCTGCAGCCCCATTTCTTAGCATTTGAGGCCCCATATAGGAGGCAGCACTTGCTGCAGCTGCTGCAGCAACAGCAGCAACAACAGCAGCAGTATCAGCAGCAGTACATACTGCAGCAGCAGCAGCAGCAGCAAGCTAATTCCTATGAGCAGCAACTACATATTATTGTCTCCTCTTCTGTCTTGGGGTGTCTATACAACAGGCTGCTGCTGCACCCACTAACACAATCACCAGATACATTAAGTAAGCCCTCCTCTTGCTGCTGCTGCTGCTGCTGCTGCTTTTGCTGCTTTTGCTGCTGTTGCTGCTGTTGCTGCTGTTGCTGTTCCTGGGTGTCCGGCTTGTCTTTGTGTCTCTTTGTCTCTCTTTTTGTTTGTTTGTTCTTTTCTGTTCTGCTGCTGCTGCTGCTAAATATATACTATTGTGCTTGTGCTTCTGCTGTTGCTGCTGTTGCTGCTGCTGTTGCTGCTGCTGCTGCTGCTGCTGCTGCTGCTGCTGTGTATAGGCTATGAATTATCTCCTCGTTTATTCTCTCCTGTATATATAAGATCAATATGTATAGGTATTGAGTATAAAGGAGACAAAAAAGTGTCTCCTTTTTATACAAAAGGAGACACTTTTATTTATTTAATTAATATATATATACTTCTTCCTCATACCCTTGTTATAGGGGGGCCCCCTCCCCCTGGTTGGCAACCAAGGGGGGCCCCCCAACCTATACTTACTGCACTACGATTCTTTGTACAGAATTGTCCTACTTGCATGCAGCAACACAGCAGCAGCAGCAGCAGCAGCAGCAACAGCAGCAGAAACAATAGCAGCAGCTTTGAGCCCACGTATGTTTTAGCTTCTTTCTCGGGCGTCTACTGCTGCTGCTGCTGCTGCTGCTACTGTTGCTGTTGCTGCTGCTGCTTGTGTTGTTACTTGTGTTGCTGCTGCTGTTGCTGCTGTCGCTGCACTTCCTGCTGCTGTTCGTAAGACACCATTTGCTGCTGCTTGTATTCTGCCTGTGTCTTTGCAGCAGCAGCAGCAGCAAATCTCCCACAGGAGCCTCTGCTGCTGCTGCATCAACATCATCAACAGCAGCAACAGCAGCAACAGCAGCAACAGCAGCAGCAGCAGGAGGGTGTTGTCTGCGTCTACCTGTAAAAAGCCCCAATAATATGAATAGAGTGTCTCCTTGTTGCGGTGTATTGCATGCGCCTGTTAATTCTTATATGTCCCTGTCTTATCCATTACTTTATTGCTGCTGCTGCTGCTGCATAGGTATAGCAGCAAATGATCCTGCTGCTGCTAATACACAACTCACACTTGGAGGTAACCATGTCCTGCTGCTGCTGCTGCTGCTGCTGCTGTTGTTGTTGTTGTTGTTGTTGCTTTTGTTACTATTGGTGGTGACGCTGCTGTTGCACTTGGATTTGCTGCTGCTGCTGCTGCTCTTGATGCTGCTGCTGCTGCTGCTGCTGCTGCGAAAGCGTCAGTGGCTCCCGATGAATATCTGTGCTGCTGGTGTTGTTGCTGCGGTTGCTGCTGTTGCTGCAGTTGCTGTTGAGTACTTCCTGCCCTCTACAGGAAAAGTCTTTGTTAGTCCTCCTGTCTTTGGGTCCCCCGTTGTGCTGCCGCAGCAGCAACAGCAGCAGCAGCAGCAGCAGCTGTGGGGGCCCCACAAACCTGCGGTGTACGTGCATGTTAATAAGGAAGTAGCAGACACACAGGTTAGGAGACAATACAGCAGCAGCAAATGGCAGCAGCAGCAGCAGCAGCATACGCTGCAGCAGATGCTTCCTTGCCTCTTCTAGGTGTGCGGATGCTGCTGCTGCTGCAGCAGCAGCAGCAGAGACACCTGCTGCTGCGGTCTGCATCCTTACAACATTGCTGTTGCTGCAACTGCAGCACCAGCAGCAGCTGCTGCTGTGTCTGCTGCTGCTGACTATGGTTGTTGTGTTTGCTGCTGTCTCCTCAGAGGTTGCTGAGGGATATAAACGAGCAGCTGCTGCTGGTGCTTCCTCCTTCGTTGTCTCCTCCTCCTTTGCTGCAGCAGCTGTCTTTGCTGCCTACGAGCAGCAGCAGCAGCAGCAACAACAGCAGCAACAGGGAGCAGCAAGTCATATATCGTGCCGAGTTAGTCTCCACCACCACCACCTCCACCAACAGCAACAGCAACAGCAGCAGCAGCAGCAGCAGCAGCAGCAGCTCAGCTGAGTTGCTGCTGCCCTTCTTATTTGAACGAGGAATAGAGACACGTAGTTGTATTGTGTCTTATAAAGAAGAAAAGGAGACACCTCTTGCTCTCCTGTCTCCTTTCCCTCTTGCTGCTGCATGGGGGGACTGGATAGCAGCACCATGGCTGCAGGAGCTGCAGCAGCAGCACACCTTGCTGCGGTGTCTTGCAGTTACTCCCATTAGCAGCAGCAGCAGCAGTAGCAGCAACAGAAACAGCAGCAGCAGCAGAAGAGGATTGGAGATATCTGCTGCTTCCTTGCTGCAGCAGCTAACCCGTCTCCTTAATGCAGCAGCAGCAGCAAAAGAAGAAGAAGCGTTGCTGCTGTCTCCTTTGCTGCGTAGACGTATAGATCTATTTAGATCTCCTCTTGCTGCTGTCTATACACACGAAAAATACTCAAGCAGCAGCAACAGCAGCAGCAGCAACAGCAGCAGCAGCAACAGCAGCAGCAGGCTTCGTAGTTTATTTATATATTTAGGTTATATAATAGATTTACCTAACATCCCCTACCTGGGATCGTCTCCTAACACGATCCCAGTACTAACAAGGAGACACTTAGATGCAGCAGCAGCAAAGTTGCTGCTGCAGCACCATTGGAGACACAGGAGACATTTGCTGCTAGATATACAATTCAAATACCAGCAGCAACGGCAGCAGCAACTGCAGCAGCAGCAGCAGCAGCAGCAGCAGCAGTTGCTGCAGCAAGTTGTTGATGAATATCTTGACCAAGCAAAGAAATTTAACTCTTTGCTGCAGCAGCAGGAGACACCCCAACCCAAAGATGTGCTCTGCAGCAGCAGCAGCAGCAGCAGCAGACGCAGCAGACGCAGCAGCAGCAGCGGTGAGACATTGTTGTTGTTTGTCTCCTTAGAGACACTGTCTCCAATCCCTTAGAATATCCACTGCTGCTGCCGGCTGCTGCCAGCAGCTAGCTAGCTAGCTAGCTAGCTTGCTGGCTAGCTTGCTGGCTAGCTTGCTGGCTAGCTTGCTGGCTAGCTTGCTGGCCAGCTTGCTGGCTAGCTTGCTGGCTAGCTTGCTGGCTAGCTTGCTGGCCAGCTAGCTAGCTAGTTGTCCCTGCAGCACATATTTGTTTGCAAGTTAGCATAGGACCACGACATATTACTGCATACTGTTGTTGCTGCTGTGTTGCTGCTGTGTTGCTGCTATTGCTGCTGCTGTTGTTGTTGTTGCTGCTGCTGCTGCTGCTGTTTGTCTTTTTTGTTGCCCTGCAGAGAGAGTTCTTCTTGTCTTCAGCAGCGCCTGTGAAGCTTCTGCCTTCCTGCAGCAGCAACAGCAGCAGCAGCAGCAGCAGCAGCAGCAACAACAACAACAACAACAGAAGCATCAACAGCATCAGCAGCAGCAGCAGCAAATGAGGATAAAAGGAGTAGATATATTATTATATCTTATTAGGCCTCCTTTTTCTTATAAAAAAGAAATTAATAATTATATACATAAGGCAATAAGAATGCATGCAAAAGAGCTGCAGCAGCAGATATTCACAGGTTAGTTGCTGCAGCAGCAGCAGCAGAAGCAGCAGCAGCAGCAGCAACAGCAACAGCAGCAGAGGCAAATGTATAGAGGTGCATGCATTGATTAATATTATTGTGCATGCTGTCTCTTTTGCTGCAGCAGCAAAGACACAAAAGGATGAGGGAGGAGGTGCAGATACACCGCAAGAAGAGGAGACACCTGCTGCTGCTGTATCTATACCTACAGAAGAAGAGAAGGAGACACCTGCTGCTGCTGATGCTGCTTCTGCTGGTGCTGCAGCTGCTGCTGTCCACATACCTAAAGAAGAAGAAGAAGGAAAGGAGACACCTGCTGCTGCTGCTGCTGCTGCTGCTGCTACTAATAATAATAATAATAATAAATATATTTATTCTTTTCTTCCTCCCTTTTATCATTATAAAGAAAAAATAAATAATAAAAAATTTATTTTGTCTCTTCTTTATCAACTATTTAATGGGGTATTACCTCCTTTATTGATAGAGGGGGCCCCCGGGGGCCCCCCACCACTTGGTACCCACAACCAGGGTCCAGTTGTCCCCTTGGGGGCCCCTGGTGGCCCCCCATCTTCTCCCTCAAGTGGGCCCCCTAGTGGGGCCCCCTGTAGGCCCCCAAAGGGGCCCTCATGCGAGAATAGCCCCTTGGGGGGCACCCCAAAGGAGGGGGGCCAATTGGGGTCGACCTTGGGGGCCTCCCATGGGGCCCCTTTAGGGGCCCCTTTAGGGGCCCCATGGGGGGCCCCCCCAATTGGTTGGGTACCAGATATAGAGGTATTATGTTATTGGCCTTTAGGTATAATAAAATATTCATTAGATGTTGCAAAACTAAAGAAAGAATATGACGAAGAATTAAGTAATTTAATGAATATATTTGCTGCTGCTGATGAAGGTAGCTTGCTGCTGTGCTGCAGCTGCAGCAGCAGCAGCAGCAGCAGCAGCAGCAGCAACAGCAGCAACAATAATAACAACAGTAATTTATTTTATTATGGATCTCCTTATTATGAATATTATTATAAAGATAAAAAAGATGTAAGAAAGTGTCTCCTTTTGTTTCTTTTTTTTTTCTCCTTTTTTTTTTGTCCCTTTTTTTTTGTCTCCTTTTCTTCTTATTTATCCTTTATTTATTTATTCTTTTTGTCTATTTATTTGTCTCCTTTTTTCTTCTTATTTGTCTCCTTTTCTCTTTCTTCCTCTCTCCTTATATTTATTTGTCCTTATTTACTTACCTTTATTTATTTATTTATTTATTTATTTATTTATTTATTTATTTATTTATTTATTTATTTATTTATTTATTTGTTTGTCTAAACATAAAAGGAGGCACAAAAAGGGAGACAAATAGAAGGAGACAGTTATAAATATTTATATATTTATTAATTGTGTCTCCTCCTCTTGCTGCTGTTGTTGTTGCTGCTGCTGCTGTTGCTGTTGCTGTTGCTGTTTCTGTTGCTGCTGCTGCTGCTGCTGCTGCTGCTGCTGCTGCAGATGTTATTAAGTGTCTCCTCTTTTTATTCATCTTTTTTTTCTCGTCGTTTTTTTTATAAGGAATTAAATAGCGAAGATAAAAGAGCTGTTGCTGCTGCTGCTTATTATTTCTCTTATGTCTCTGCTGCTGCTCTTGATGCATTTATTGCTGCTCATAGCAGCAGCAGGAGCAGCAGCAGCAGGAGCAGGAGCAGCAGCAGCAGCAGCAGCAACAGCAGAATGCATGCATCGCATATAGAAGAGATTGATCGACTTAATGACTTGGGGATCGATTGCCGTCTTCTTGCTAAGGCGGCGCAGCAGCAACAGACGAGTGCAGCAAGCAGCAGCAGCAGCAGCAGCAGCAGCAGCAGCAGATCAGTAACGGACGAAGGCAGCAGCAGCACGACAGCAAGTAGCAGCGCAAGAGAGGACAGCAGCAACACCAACTCTCCTCATTCCTCCCATGCTTCGTGTGACGACCAGCAGCAGCAGCAGCAGCAGCAGCAACAACAGCAACAGCAGCAGCAACAGCAACAGCAGCAGCAGCAGCAGCAGCAGCAGCAGCTCCTGCATCGTCGTCAGCAGCAGCATCTATCTTCATTTGTATGGATGTTATATTATAATGAATTAAAAGACATAAAAATTAATTCTGCTGCTGCTGCTGCTATGCACTATTTATAATAAATAGGATGAGGGGGAGGGGGGCCCCCAAGTGTTGGTTGGGGGGCCCCCAAGTGTTTGGGGGGCCCCCAAGGATTTACGGGCAACTTACCATCAATCCTTGGAGGCATACCCTCGCTTGTTACTTAATTATCTAGGTAGCCAGCTACATAGGTAGCTAGCTAGTTATGTAGCTAGCTAGGTAGGTAGCTAGCTAGCTAGGTAGCTAGCTACCTACCTACCTACTTACCTACCTAGTTAGCTAAGCACCTAGCTAGGTAGCTAGCTAGCTACCTAGCTAGCTGCATACAGACTTATGCTCTCTTGAACAAAATCCTCAGCATGACAACTACCTAAGCAGCTAGCTGGCTAGCTACCTGAGCAGCTAGCTGGCTAGCTAGCTGGCTATCAAATTGTTTCCCACTAACAGGGACAATAAAATAAATAATATAATTAAATAAATATAGATATAAATATAAATATAAATATAAATATAAATATAAATATAAATATAAATATAAATATAAATATAAATATAAATAAATATAAATATAAATTAAATTAAATTAAATTAAATTAAATAAAAAAAATAAATAAAAAAAAAATAAAGTAATTAAATGCCTTTCTTTATTCTTATAATAATACCTACAAGACAAACATTTCTTCCTCTGTATACAACCCCCACACCAATAAAGGTAAACAAAATAGGCATAAATAGGCATTAAATTAATCTTTTTTTGCTTATTTAAATAAATTAAATAAATATAATTATTATTTTTGTACTTTTGCAAGAAATTTGCATATTTAGGGGTATATTTCAACCCATTAACCAACCCGTTACCCACCAGGGGGCCCCCTGGGGGGCCCCCCAGAGCACGGGGGACGCAGATGGTGTTTATGGCTGTATTTTCCTGCCTTCTTCTTCTTCGTACTAAAATTGTATTTTATTTAATTTATATTTTTTCTTTTTTTCCTTTTTTAGTTCGTTTTTAACTTCCGAGCAGTACTCTTGGGGGCCCCTGGTACCCCGGGGGCCCCCTCTACCTGCCCAGCGTGTCGATACAGCAGCAGCAACTGCAGCAGCAGCAGATCCAGGAACTAAAATAACAACGACAACAGCATCAGCACAGGCAACAGGAGAAGGAGCAGCAGCAGCAGGAGTAGCTAGAGGAGCAGCAGCAACAGAAGCATAAGCAGCAACAGGAACGCGAGCAGCACCAGCAGCCACAACAACAACAGGAGGAGCAGCAACAACAGGAGCAGCAGCAGCAGCAGCAACAGCGTCAGCAGCAGGTTCAAGTGCCTCTCTATGAGTAGGGCTCTGCATGCATCTGAGAAGAAGTCCGGCACTGCTGAAGGTCCTGGGGGGCCCCTTGGGGCCCCCCAGTGGGCCTTCATGGGGGCCCCAGAGGGGAGTAACGCCATTCTGTGGAACAGCAGCAGCAGCAGCAGCAGCAGGTGCAGCACCGCAACCTTTATATAATCATTGTGCACACACAGAAGCATTTACGTATGTGTGCTGCAGCAGGAGCTGCAGCTGCTGCAGCCGCTGCAGCTGCAGCAGCAGATGCAGCAACACCTTGTTGCGTCGCTCCTTTCCTGGTTTGCTGCTGTATGGGAAGCAGCAGCGGGGATTTGCTGCAGCAGCAGCAGCAGCAAAATCAGCAGCAGCAGCAGAGAAGAGACGACGAGAGTTATTAAGGAGACGGCGTAATTGGCAACCACCTAATGTCCCTCAGTACGCTTATCTAGGGTTTAGGGTTTAGGGTTTAGGGTTTAGGGTTAAGGGTTTATTAGGGTTTAGGGTTTGTATATGTCCTATATAGTTTATTTTTTGTTAATTCTTTGTGTAGTTATAGGACGTCTTTTCCTAGGGTTTAGGGTTTATTAGGGTTTAGGGTTTATTAGGATTTATTAGGGTTTATTATGGGTCTATTAGGGTTTAGGGTTTAGGGTTTGTGGTCCTGTATAGGCGATATTTAAAAGAAGAAGGAGAGAGGGGGGCCCCCCTATTACCTCGTATAGGTATAAAGGGTACAGGAGAGGGTAGGGGGGGCCCCCATAAAGTTTATGATGTAAATAATCATCTAATTAAGGAAACAAATAATATTTTATTTATACCTAAATATAAAAAACCCCATGAGGTAAACCCTAATCGTAAACCCTAAACCCTAAACCCTAAACCCTCGTAAACCCTAATTATATACCCTAGTTATATACAATAAAAATAAACCCTAATTATAAATAATATATTATTTATACCTAAATATAAAACCGCCATGAGGTAAACCCTAATTATAAACCCTAATCGTAAACCCTCGTAAACCCTAATTGTAAACCCTAATTATAAACCCTAATTATAAACCCTAATTATAAACCCTAATCGTAAACCCTCAACCTTAATTATTCAAAAGTCCTAAGTCCTAAACCCTAAACCCTAAACCCTAAACCCTAGCGTATTCAGTACTGCTGCTACATACATCCTTAGTCGAGGGGTAACAGGAAACGGCTTA